AATGAAATGCCTATATGTAGCCTTTTAAATATTTATCCTGTGTTATCTGAGCTTCCTGGGTCAGTAGTTTGTGTCTGTTACCAATTTGAGAAATTCTTACTGTTATTGCTTCAAATATTTCTTCTTTTCTCTCTTTTTCTTCTTTTATTCCCATTTTGCTTATGTTATACTTTTTATAGATTACCCACAGTTATTAGATATTTGTTGATTTTGAGAATCTTTTTTCTCTTTCCTTTTCTGTTAGATGTTTCCATGCCATATGTCCAAGCTCAGATACTCTTTCCTCAGCCATGTCCATTCTACCAATGAGCACGAAAGGCATTCTTCATGCCTGTTAGTGTTTTTGCTCTCTAACATTTCTTTTTTATTCTTAGAATTTTCATCCGATTGCTTGCATTGTCCATCTGTTCTTGCATGCTAGCTACATTAGAGCTCTTAGTGTATTAATTATAGTTGTTTCAAATGGCTGGTCTGATAGTTCCAATATCCCTACCATATTTTAGTCTAGTTCTGAGGCTTGCTGTCTCCTCAAACTGTGTTTTTTGCCTTTTAGTATGGCTTGTGATTTTTTTCCTTGATGGCTGGACAGGATATGCTGGGGAACAGACTTGCTACAAATAGGTTTTTAGTAATGTGGTGGTAAGGTACTGGGGACGGAAAAGCATTCTATACAACTAAGATTTGCCCTCAGTCTTTCAGTTAGCCTTTGACTGGGAATTTCAGAAAACTCATAGTGAGAGTTTTCTCTCTCACTAAGTGGAACAGGATGACTACAGGAGGCAGGAATTGAGTATTTCTCTTTTCCAAGGTCACAAGTGCTGATAAAAACTAACACCTTACACTATTGTAAAATAGTCTCTTGAGGGCAGAACTGTTAGGAAGACCAGAATGTTTTCGCCTATTTCAGAGCACTGGTTTTGTTTCTTCTCTCCCTGCCAGAAGCACATGGAATTTTCCTCCAATATGCACTTGCATTGTCCATTGCATTGAGAATTTAGTTGAACTCACAAAAGTGTGGGGGGTCTCCCTGTGACTGGTTCCCTGGGAATTTTTAATGCTCAGACTTGTCCTATTGTAGGGACCAACCAGGTATTCTACTCAGGCACTGGTTGGTTCCAATGCAGGTTTCTTTTTAGGATTCCTGCGCTGGTGAACTGTGATTTTTTATATTGGTCTAATTCGGGGCAGCAGATTTTCCTTCTGACCTCACTTTTATGAAGGATCTAAGAGCTGTTGATTTTTCAATTTGTTGAGATTTTTGCTTGTTAGGACAAAGTGACAACTTCCAAGTCCCTTGCATATGAGACCAGAAACCAAAACCTGGAATTTACTTTTGGAGTAGAGAAAATGCTCTGGGATTCGATAAGGATAATGATTAAACAACTCTGCAAATATTCTAAAAACCACTGAATTGTGTACTTGTAAAAAGTGAATGTGTGTCACTTTTTAGTATGTCAATTGTATCTCGATAATAAAATCATAGAACAGATTAGCCAGAAATGCAAATAACCTTCACAATTTTCATTCCTGATGACAAAACAAACAGATGCTTGAGAAATGCTATTTATGACATTATAAATAGCTATAATAAAATATATTAGTTTTGGTTTTTAAACGCTATGTCAGAAAACACAATATAGTACCATTAGGTGACAGGACCATAGTGTCATTCATTTCATCAATTATTTTGCTTCTGTATGTTTTACTGACTTCGATAAAACAGTGTTGACCATTAGTCAACAATTTTAACTGATAGCTTTTTTTGTTATCTACCAAACAATATTCAAGATTTAGAAGTCAGATAGCAATGTTTGTTCTAAAACTCAATTCATAAATGTCCGTTTTTCTAGCCTGTGGGCTAGAATACAGGACCATGTAGAGTAATACTCTAGACTCCAAAGGAAAGAAAGTTGATTGAAACTAATCAGGTTTCAAAGCTCCAGCCGTTTACTGGGAAAATGCTCCCAGAAGATGACTCAGGCATTGGCTAGAAAAATAAGGATTGTGTAAACCAAAAGGACAGAGGAAATCAAGACCTAGAGCTTTGCAGTGATAATTTTTGGATGGAACAGATTTGTATCTCAATTCAGCAACTGCGCCTAAACCACCATGATTAGAAATTTGTCTTAGATCTCAGTGAGTGACATTGAAAATTATCTTTTATCTTTCCGAAATTATTAAGGATTAGAACAGACCAGAATGGTAGGTGGGGTCATATGTGGATCCAGTTTTGGAAAGATAAGAGATGCAGAGGTTGAGGCATTCAGGCTGGCATGTGGGGAAGATTTTTAGTGTGTGCCGGTTAACAACTTACTGCCATATGAAGACTCAGGAACCCAACTGCCTGGATTTGAATTCTAGTTCTATCATTTGCTAGCTGAGTGACACTGGGCAAATTATATAACCTCTTATACCTGGATTTTCTTATCTGTGAAATGAGAAAAACAAAAGTACTACTTCATAGGGTAGTTTGCGATAAGTATCACATATGTAATAGCTTTGATAAGAAATCAAGAAATGAATAGCAATAAGAATAAATTCACTGTAAAATTATATGACATATATCTGTATGTAAATATATATATATATATATATATATATATATATCCATAGCCACATAATATGTGGTATGTGCACACACATTTACACAAAAATATATTAATAAACAAATCATTAAAAAAACACAATTTGAGAAATCTTATTAATTGACTCTGGTAAGTCACGTTCTCATTTTCACCAGCTGTTCTCACCTGCTCAGACACTTAAGTCCAACATGTTGTCTGATGGATCATGGGAATAAGTAGACAAAGTAAATATGGAGACTATCAAAGAATTCAGGACTCATTGAGAAACTACCTTAATTCCCACACAGTCCTTGATTGCTGAAGAAAGCAACCCTGGCCGTGATGAAACACCTAGTAATGCCCATAAACTTGAATTGCAGTAACGACACAGGCCAGACATTTTTGGAGCTCCAATTTAAACGGCCTCTTTCCAGTACTATTGTTGTGTGAAGATATTTAAATTGTCAAAGTCTCTATTTGACTGTCAAAATTTGAAATTACAGTATGTACTTATATTTCCTTGAGAATTCATGGAACAAATTTCATTATAATGTATACTTATATTTTCTTAGAATTTGTAAAATAAGAGAATAAAGTTAACAAAACAGAAATAAAATTAATGTGAATAATGAAATATTATTTTTAAGCAGAATTGTTTAATTCAGAAAGGGAGACAATGGGTACCTATAATCAAAACGACCATTCTCTCTCAACTCTTCTACTCTACGCCATTCTTTCTGCAACTAAAATTGGAAAGAAGGTGGATGGCAGTGTTATGCCCTAAGATTGTAACTTGTAAAGAGATAAGAAAATTATTTTCCAAATTGTCATAAGTATAGTTCTGTCATTACTTTAGTAGCACTGGACAGACCTGGGTTTGATTCTTGCTCTACCTATTATTCAATGTGTGCCTCCTCCCGATATTTCAACTTGAGTTTCAGTCTCTTCTTATGTGAGGTGGCAATAACATTAGTCCTCACAGGTACTTAAGTACTTGACATAGTACTTGGCACAGGCTAGTTTAAAAATTTTAGCTATTCTCAGTTTACTTAATATTCATACAAGCCACAATATAATTGTACCCTTCTACTAACTTAATAATTCACTTTTGTTCTTGGGTTTAAGAAAACCCAATGGTTCATTCCATAGTTCATGTTTAATATGGGCATTTTTTTCTTTTTGAATTCCAATGCATCTGTTGCTGACCCTAGACTCTACCAGTAGCTCATCAACATCTTTGGACAAAAGAAGAATCTGATATTTGGTTCATTATTTATGTGAAGTTAAGGAGTTGGCAGCATACACAGCTGAATGAGAATTCTAGAAATGACCTTTTTAGCCAATGTACTGGCAAAGAAGCACTCATATATTAAGACTCTTCCAAAGTAACAATTTATTTCCATATTACCTAGACAGACAAAAAAGAAATTACCATTTGTTCCCCAAAGCAGAAAAGAAATCAAGCAATTCAAAAATTCAGGCTTGGGTAAAGAAAATTTATGATATTTTCCAATAAATATTAAAAGATAATTTTAGAAAATTTTTTTTTTTTTGAGAAGGCACCTCACTCTGGTTGCCCAGGTTGGAATGCAGTGGCACTATCTCAGTTCACCACAACCTCTTCCTCCCGGGTTCAACTGATTCTTTTGCCTCAGCCTCCTGAGGCTGAGCACACCCCATCTGGTTGATTTTTGTATTTTTAATGGAGACAGGGTTTCACCTCATTGGCCAGCCTGGTCTCAAACTCCTGAGCTCAAGTGATCTGCCCTTCTTGGCCTCCCAAAGTGCTAAAAGCTGAGACTACAGGCATGAGCCACCGTGTCCAGCCAAATTAGTTGTTTTTTTTTGTTTGTTTGTTTGTTTGTTTAACTAAAGGACATTTTTAGGCTGTAATTTGATTTCATATTACCATTCAATGCAAAAAGTGTGATATTTGTTTGAGTTATAGGACTAATGCAAATTTCCAAAATCTAAAATGTCCTTTTGCTTACTTTAGAAACGAAAATAACGTAATAGAAGAGAAAACATCTTCTTGGTAACGATTAACCTTAGGAGGAAGGATCTGAGAGCACTGATGGACATACGTTCCATAGGATTATGAATGAGAAAGAAAGAAACTTGGTCATTAATTATTCATTTGTTTTAGAAATATCTTTTGAAAAAGTTTCTAAGTATTTGCACTGTGCTATATGCACTGGGGACAGTCATGTTAAATGATTCTTGCCTTAAAGACGCTTACAATCTAGTAAGAGAAGGCAACTGAGCCACTAATGGTTATACTACATCAAGTTACAACCATCGATGGCTATACCAGAGCCATCGATGGTTGTATTACATCAGTGGTTACGTTTCAGTAGCAAGCAGATACAAGATGCTTTGGGAATATCATGTGAGGGAAATCGTGGGAAGAGAAAAAATGAAACTGAAACTCCTCAGAAAAAGCAAAAACAATATTGATTTTAATAAAGCCCTTCTAAAATCAAACACATTTAATACTTTATTTGTATAATACATTGAAGTATGTCTTGTTCTTTAAAATATAGTTTCTCCAAGTGATTCTCAGGCTCAATCATGATTACAAGATACATGAAATTAGGCACATTAATATGAAACAACTATTCAGTAATTTTTACGGTGCATTATTTATAAGACACCACAAGTCACACAGTTTATACAAGTTAAAATGAGCTATATGAAGTATTCTGTTTTTGTGTATTTCCCTGCTAGGTGAAGTGAATATTCTTTTAACATTGGACCTTGGTGTTACCTGTTTTGAAAGATGGATATTGAAAGTTAAAAATCAGTCACTATATAGGCACTGCTGTATGGAAAACACATTTTGTTTCTATATATTGTAAGCGGAAATGCCTTTTGAGTTACATATTTATGCCAGGAAGCTTGACAAACACTGAACAGTCTGTAAAGAATGGAAAATCTCTTGACCATCAATTCAAATGAATATAATTTAACCATTTGCAGCAATACTAATTTACATTATTAATTACTCTAAAATGTTCTTGTTGTCAAACCAAAATAGTTTTGAAGTTAGGGATCTGCTTTGTCTCTTCATTCCTGTGGGTGCCCCAATTCCCCATAATATTTGCAGCTGAGAAATATGTACTTTTATTCACTTTTAAATTTTCATTTAAGTGACAATCAATTAGGAGCATATTAAATCCTCCCTTAACATGAAAAAAACAAACACACACACCAAAAACCAAAAGGAAACCTCAAACCACTTCTGAATGACTTCAGACTCTCTTGGATCCTGGATGCTGCTTTTGCATACTACTGTAGCACACTAAAACGATGCCTATCATAAAATAAGGATGGCCCAATCTATTGACAATCTAATCTAATCTAATCAAGGTGACCCAATCTAATGACAGTATTGGATGGCAAGTACTTCTGAAGTCAGTTAATAGAGATACTTTAAAGAAATTTCATTCCAATAAATACAGTATAAAAGTCTTTACATTATATTCATAAATTCACAAAATGCACTCCGTAGATATCTGGTCAAATCTGCCAGAAGATTCCAAAGCCCACACCTTTTGTTTCAAATGTAATTAGGACGACTATAACAAAAGCAGTAAAATGCAAGACACAAAATCTTGGTCATTTTCAAATGATTTCAACCCCATTTCTTGGGAGAACAAGTAATCAAAGTATGTTGCAGGTTGTGCTTGTTTTTAGACAGATGTTATCTAGGACCATAGTCTAGAAACAGTTTCAGATTTTTTCATTATCATCATTGTTGATTTTTTTAAACGCCACTGGGCTGGCTTGCTTCAAAGAAGTCTTAGAAACATCTGTGTGCATGGTGGACATGGCAATTGTCTCATAATCATCATCCCGAGACCGGAAATCACAAAAGTTAAAGAAGAACTGCAAGTCTCTCTGGAAGTTTTTGTTCAGGAACCCATAAAATATGGGGTTGACACAAGTGGATATCATTGCTGTGAGGTGGCAGAGCAGGAATAACAGATTGTGGTTGCAGGTAGCAATGATCTGATGATTCCAATCAAACACAGTGTTAAAGATGGTAAGCGGTAGCCAGCAGACTGCAAATGCTACCACAATGGAGAGCAGCATGATATTGATTCTTTTGGTTTCACTGGACCTGTACTTATTGTCTCTCATCTTGTCCATCATGTTGTTTCTCCTTTTTAAGCGTATATATATCTGTGGAGGAAAAAAATATAAGTTTAAATAGAACCACTCATTTAATGAGGAATTCTGTGTAATGAAGGTAAAAATGGAAATGATAGGGAAAAAAAGTTTTCTTACCTTGAAGTAGCAAATAAATATAAAACAAAGTGGACCAAAATACTGCAGCACCAAGAGGAGAGTGGTATAAGACAACCTATGAGAGTCTGATGGAAATTGATCAAAGCACACGTATTTGTCTTTGTACGCATCAAGTGTTACATTTTGAAACGGCTCATCGGTCAATACTTGGTAGATCAGGAAAGGCAGAGAAGAAGCCACAGCAAGGACCCAAATCACAGCAATACCTACATAAGCATGTCTATTATTTGGTCTCCACCCTCGAGGGTTGATTATCAGCTGATGTCGTTCCACAGCAATGAGAACCAGAGAGAAAATGGACACAGTGATTGAAACACATTGCACGAAAGGATTCAACTTACACATTGCTTCACCAAAGACCCAGTGGTCCATTAATGTGTAGACAAATGTAAAGGGGAGACACATGATGGCGACAAGCAAGTCTGAGAAGGAAAGGTTCACAATCAGGATGTTGGTAACATTTCTCATCTCTTTTTGTTTCAAGACGATTATGATCAAGGCCAGGTTTCCAGAGACACCAAGAATGATCACAGCTCCATAAGCAAGAGCTAAGGTAAATATCATGGCTAAGGGCAGATGACAATCACCATTTTCAAAAGCCAAAAGGTGGGCATTCTTCTCTGAGAAATTAGAGTGGACTGAATGATTTTCAACCTGGGAAAATAATGTTGAATTCATTTTGATTGGTTTGGTTGTTATAGATTATCTTAGACAAATGGATAGTATGTTTCTTCAAAGCAGGTCAGCTGTTCAGCTTATTCTTATTCCCCATATTGGAATCCAATTACCAAAATTATTCTGAATTCTTCATTCCCTTGAACTGAACAATCTGTAAAGAGAAAATTACCAATTGCATTACTAATTTTATTGAGGGCAGTCAGAATGAATTCTGACTCATAGAACTCTTTAAAGTGAACACACTGAAATAAATAAACAAAATGTAATCTTGTAAACATCTTTCTAAAATAGCAGAAATGGTGCAAACATACCGTTTGCACTGTAAACAATTTTAATTGGACTTGCATATAGAACAAGTCTTAGTAAAACATAGTGGTCAGTAAGGAATCTATAAATCTTATGCCCCAAGTCTTGCATAAACAGTAGTAACAGCAGGCAAAAATATGAATGCATAAAACCCACTTAATGCACAGATTAAAACATAAGAAAAATAAACAAAGCAAAATAAAATAAATTACCTAATTCTTCCTTATGCTATACAAATGGAAGAATTCATGTCAAGGTCAAGTTGTAGCAATAGCTCCACCATACATACACGGGACGGCTTTTTAAGCCAGATTCAGTAGAAGTATATTCAACAAAAGATCATCAATAGAGTGCAACATCAAAAAACTTTGCCATGAATGACTATCGAGAGACTAGACAGTGTTTAATCCGGAAAACACTCGGTAGGGATGGTACAGATGTCTTCTCGTACTTTAATGGGTAGCATGTAGAACACAGAGAATTGAGCTTAGGATGTTACATCTCATTATACGTACAAGTTAAAAGTAGGACCAAGAGGTGCACATTATTTCTTTAAATCACATCATTATGTGGAACAAAAGTTTAATAAAATGGAATTAAATGCCGCAAATTTAGCAAGTGTTCCATACACAAAAGCTTATAACCACTATATGAAAGACCAATTCAGAGTTTTTCCATTGTGTAGGAGATTCAAACTTTAAGAGTTTATTACTTTATTACTATGTTAGAAGTTTCAAGGATTTCTAAGGAATTATTCATGTAAATATCTTTCCTCCCCACCAGATTCTTTGTGGGTCCAATGCAAGGATCTAGAGTTTTGTTGTAATTTTGACTTTTCACAGCATTTTGTGATGTATTTTTCTCTTATTAACAACACAAATCACAGACTTGTAGAGAGTTTAAAGGAGTTTTAAGTTATTTTAAAAACTCCTTTTTAAAAATAAGTCTGATTTTCCCTAGATTACTACATAAATAAGTGAGATGGGATTTTTTTATGTTAATTAACAGGCCAGCGTGCCTGTGTTAAGAAACTGAATTGCATTCTTTTCTTTCTTAAATAGACCAATAAAGAAAATCATTCAGACTTACTTCCATTGAAAGAAAGATAAGAAATTTAATGAACAAAAAATGCATTTGCCTTTTACATAATACCTCTAATGAACCTTTCCTTTAATGTTTTTGCTTTCTAGAACACAAGGGTTTTTAAAGTTATTGAACCATAATTTGGCCTTATAAAACTTAAGAAGGATAAAGTAAGGGTTGCTATAATGAAGTCAGAATGAAAGGATTAAAGAATGGTGATAGAACGATTTCAGATATTAATGTTATTAGAAACCTGGCTCTCTCCTTCTCTGTGCATCAACCCGTAACAACTCCCTATTATTTATGTGATAACCACACTTTTTCTCTCAAGAATTCCAAAGGCAGAGAGAACGATCAGTGAATGTCAGAGTTTAAGAACAATCTTAAAGAAGCAAAAATAACTTCAAATTATTTGGAAATCTCTTATTTTAAGAATTCAAGAAAATTTAGCATCATATTTCCTATTTCAGTTACTATAGAGATACTTTATTATAAGTTTATAATCTTATAATAAAGTTTATAAGATTATAAACTTATAATCTTATAACTTATGATAAGTTTATAATCTTATAAGATTATAAGTTTCCCTTCACTATTTAAAGTAAAACTAGCAGAAGAGGAGAAAACACATTCCCTTTTATCCATGTCACCAAGTGTCAACAAGTGAATGAGGACCCTGGTATGAGACACGAGGGATGGAACATTAAGTTCATTCCCCAGCCTGACATATTCAGACATTATACCTCTCTTCTAATAATCCCAATGTGAATTCCCTGCTCTAGGCAGGCGAGTCTGTTCACAGTCTACCAAATATAGCTCTGCATTTCCACCTCTGCCATTCTTCTTGCTAAGTGTTCTCTCTCTCCCACCACCAATCCAAACTCTACCCATCTTTCAAAGCACCATTTAGTATCTAGAATCCTTAATTGGTTCCTCTCATTTTTCATATAACATCTTTGAGGTAGGCATTGTGCATATTTCATAGTAACTTGCAAGTATTAGATTTAGAATAAAACTGTGTTGACTGATATAACACTCATGGTTGGAGTAGTAGGTTCTTGGGTACATTAATCCTAACATCAATAGCTCAATTTCATCATAGTCCTTGGACATGCAAAATGTATGTTAATTAAAACAGCCATTCTAGGTCATGTATCCAGGGGAATATATTACACTTTGTGTAAAAAAAATTATTTCTGGAAGAAAATTTATTTATTCAACAAATGTTAATTAAACAGTTATTTTGTGTTAGGCATGATTTTACTGGAGAGACTGTGACCTTTTCAGTGGCTTTCTAGTCTTATGGGTAGAGAAAGACAAGAAAAAATTAGTAAAAGATATAGCATGCTAGATGATAATAGTGTTATAAAGAAAAACAAAGCAAGAAAGAGCGACTCGGGGGCCAGGCGAGGTGGCTCTCATACATAATCCCAGCATTTAGGGAGGCTGAGGAGGATCACCTGAAGTCAAGAGTTCGAGACCAGCCTGGCCAACACGGTAAAAACTTGTCTCTACTAAAAATACAAAAATTAACCAGGTGGGGTGGAGTGCAACTATAGTCCCAGCTACTCGGGAGGCTATGGCAGGAGAATAGCTTGAATCTGGGAGGCAGAGGTTTCAGTGAGCCAAGATGAGGCCACAGCACTCCAGCCTGGGTGAGAGTGAGACAAAAAAAGAGAGAGAGAGAGAAAAAAGAGGAGCTGGGATTCTGGGATTTTTGGAAGCTGCAATTTATTACTTGACTGTAAAAGATGGCCTCTGACTATCTAAGAAGGAGGAATGTAAGTTAAGACCTGAGAGGAGTGGTGAGTAGGGAAGCCACACAACTATCTCAGGGTTTGCATCCCATATGGAAAGAACGAAAATCCTTAAGGCTTCAGTGTTACTGGTGTACTAAGTAATAATGAGAAGTAGATAAACAAGGGAGAGACCCTTAGAAAATTAATTGGGAAGTTTAAAGAGAGAGGGTACAGACTGTGTAGGCCTTTTTTTTTTTCTTTAAACAATCTTTGCTTTTAATCCTGAGAGAGCTGGGGAACCTCTGGAGAGTCTCTGGGAAAGGTGTGAAGTTATACGACTGTTGTTTTAAAATTACTATTCTAGCTGCTGTTTTCAACACACTTAACGAAAGAGAAGAAGTGATGAGATTCATTAGGAAGGTAGTGCACTAATATTAGTGAGAAATAATGGGGGCAGAGACCAAGATGAATACCAGGGAGAGAAAGAAACATAGAAATATTCTATCTACTGACTGATTTTGGCAAATGTGAATACATATAGGAATTCATGTAGACATTAAATTATTGCAAGTACAGGCTACAGATATAGCTTTCTTACAGATGAGTTCAGGTAAACATACTGAAGCTCCAGTCTGATGCCTTTGAAATTGTATTAATAGGCATGCTCAGTGAGGAAGGCTTTTTCTTACTAGGTACAAGTTAACTTAGCTATAGAGAAAATGAAAACTTTATTTTTTTAAGGTGTTTTCAAGACCGTTTTACTAAGTGCACATTTGGTAGTTATTTTAGTGTATAAACCAATTCTGCATTAAATAAAATGTGTATTTTCAGTTTACCCTAGAATAATTTCAAGAAAGAATAACTGTCACAAAATAACGATACTAAGAATTTATCTTTGCAAAAGAAAATAATTTCATATTTGCTATTCTAATATAATGTGTAAAATAAGCTATGCAGCTACAGAAACTACAAAAATTAATGACTACTAAATCTCAGTATAGCTGCCATGTGCATCTAGAGACAAAAACAGAGACATTACATACATCACCAGCTGGCAAATTAGCCCCCTTGCAGAGGGAAATTTCCTCTTCTCTCCTTCCAATTAGAATGCTGGCCTTTCATTGCTTTCTCTTCGCAGTGCTGTTACTACTTGAAAATACAGCTCCCTGATCATAACCTGCCGCAGATAATTTTTTTTTCAAATACTCAGGATTGGCTGTTCACCTCACTAGTGTTGGAAAAGAAATGTCAGCCTTGTTACATAGAGCCTCCCAAAGTTACTGCTAGCTTATCTAAATGAGTTACATAATTCTCTGCTCCTTCCTAGCAGAGGAGGGCTTGTTCAACAGACTGCTGCCTCAAGACAATAAAGACCAATAAAGCAGTAGTCACTGAAGAGCACTCAGTCTTTAGTCCTGGGTGGGGAACTCCTCGGTCCGGTTAGCTTTCTGCGCCTTCCCTTGCTTCGCCAGAGAGCCGGTCCAAGGTCTTAGGACTAACAGCTACTGCTGTTCTGTTCCAAGACCTGGCAGACAAGCTCCACATGTCCCCTGCCTGTGTGTGCCATCCCTCCAGTCATGCTTTCTTACAGGATGAGGGGTGGGGGAAGCAATGCATGCTCGTGTGTGTGTATGTGTGTGTGTGTGTACATGGAAACACACTCTCTTTTGCTCCTCTCCCCTAGGTTTTTCCTGTGCTCCAGGAACACACACGCACTTATCAGAAAAGCTTCCTACCCGTGATAAGAGACTGGCAAAACAGAAAAGATACAAACAACCAAAAACGAGCAGATCCCAAACCCAAAGTCAATTCTCTCTTTGGCCCAACCTCAGACCTTAAAACATTCGCATCTCTCCAGTCTACCCGGGAACCAACGGGACACCCTGTCAAGCTATCTCCACCTCCTGTACATTCCCAATCTCCTAATCCAGCCATGCTCCAACTTTTCTAAAAGAAAGAGCTAAGGAGTTCCATGATTAGAACTCCGATGATTAAAAGCTTCGGGTGTCTACAGGGCTCAGCATCGCACTCGAAGCGGCCAGCACAGGGGAGCGCGGCTCCACCGCAGCCGAGACGCGCGGAACCCGCAAGTGGGGATGGGCGTGCGCGCTGGGGTCCGCGCCGGCGGCTACTGGCACCTCCGCCCGCTCCCAGCCCGACACCTGCTGCGGGACCCGGGCGGCGGCGGGCGACGCGCCTAGCCCACTGTTCTCCGGCTCACCCCAGCCGGTTACTCTGCGAAAACTCCGGTGCAGCCAGAGCGGGCGCCTCTGCGGATGAGCGGGTGCGGGATGGACGAACTCGCGCACATTCCCAGCCCCTCGGCCTTTTAAAGAGAACCTGGGAAGAGGAAAACTTGGGTCCCCATCCAGAAATTCCCCGGGAGCAGGCGGTGGGAAAGCCGGACTCCGCGTAGTGCACCCTCTCCGTTCCCCGGTGTCGGCCCCATGCCCTCCTTCGGCAGGAGCCCGCGAGCGGTCCACTGATGGGGAGCGACCTGCGACCTGCCAGCGCGGGAGACCCACCTCGGTCCCCCAGAGCCAGTGTCGGACACTCGCATCGTTTATCTTCCCCTCTCATCCTTCAGTGAGAGATTTCGCAAAAGTCTCTGGAAAGGAATAAAGTCGCAACTTACCCTCTTTGGAATTCGTCTTTTTCGCTCCTGCTTATTGAAGAGGGAAGGGTGGGAATGGAACCGAGCAGAGAGGGGAAAGATCCGCTGGTATTTCTCCTGCTCAGATCCTAAAGATTGATGAAGCTAGGAAGAGACGCCCCCTTAAAGCCGAACTCCACCTCAACCCGGGATCACGTGACGGCGCCCCGCGAGTAGCGCCTGAAGCTCCCCCCGCCCCACAAACACCTCACAAAGGTGACCCCTCGGGGAAGCGTTGCCTGGGAATTCTGGAAAGAACAGCAATCCACCAGGAGCTACGCATTGTTCGACACAGAAGCCCCGCGCTGGGGAAAGGAAGCCCGAGTCCCCACGGTCCCTGACTCCGGGGAAGGCAGGGCAGTTTCCCAAGGCTTGAAAAAGTCAGTCTCACTGGGCTTTTCTTTGTTTGCAGGTCAGTGCCATCTTGTGGCCGAAGTCAGACCCGGCTGGAGAGCTCCGGCGCCAGCCCAAGCTAGGAATCCATGGGCTCGCTATTTACGGGAATAGAAAACAAGAAATTCGCCACAATAATGGCACTAATACGTTTTTTTTTGTTTTCGTTTGTGACGCTCAAATAACTCTCACGCCAGTGCCGAGAATTTGCTTTCCTCAATTTATAAGTGAACAAAGAAAAGACTTTTAAAAAGTCAAAGCAGTCAATCTCAGATGAGGCAGTCTGGCCTTTTGGCCCTCCTTTCTTTGGCCCACTGAGAAAATACATCTAGTCAGATTTGTTCCCAGCGCTTAGCTGCTTTTTAGTTTTTTCAGAGGAGAGCCATGAACCGAATATTTCCCTGGTGGTCGAAAAGAGTCAATGCAGTTTCCTTGGTGATTAATCTACTACAGTACTGAACATTATGAAGAAAAAATAGAATGTACACAGAGTACGTTGAAGGCGGCCAACCCCATCATGGTGCCCGATGATTCAGGCCAATTACTGACACACGGATCTGAGAGGTTTTACCTGGTTCTATTCTAGTTTCAAAAGTCAAAGTTGTACACACACACACATACACACACAAATGATGTAGACGATGGACTGATGCAGATGAGTAGAACTTCTTCCAAATAAAAGTGTTGAAAATAAGAAGTCTTTCTAATAAAGATACAGGGCACTGCCCAGATAATTCATAAAGGTTTCCTTACAAAACAATTCTAATGGCAATCTTTCTTCTAATTACAATAAAAACAAAATTCCAAGACATATGGACTGAAACTTTATACTGTTAAAAAACGTTTTCTTTTTCTCATTGTTATGCTGCATAATCATAAAGTTCAATATAAGCTCACTTATTTATATAGATAGTGATAAACACAACCACTGGATGTTTTTCCAAGAAAGCTTTCAAAAATATGTGTCACGAGACATACTTTTATATAGTTGGAAAGGGATTATAACCAAGAATTAAAATGTCATGATTATGTGATGATTGTACTATTACTGTATAACAGATATAAGCATACGTATAAAAATCTCTAATGGTTAAGAGCAAAATGACAACAACATAACAGATTCATTTATACCCCCACACACACGCACACACATGCACATATATATATATAGACACTCTTTTTTAGCAAGGATGAAAATATAAGGCACAATTTAGGAATTTCAGTTCCTTCAAGGAACAATAACTAATATTCATTCAGGTTTCTGTGCATCCTCTGTCTACTCCATTCCCTTAAGTCACATTCTATTCTTAGGAAGTTTTCCCCATGGTTTTGATCATCAAATTGGCTATCTTTAGGCTGCTGTAAGAATTACAAATGAAGTAATCTAATTCTCTACTAAGAATATATTTTTATGTAGAAACGTGTTATGTCAGCAAATATTTTGGACTTGAGAATATAATTTGGACTCAGGTACTATGCTTTCCCTACTTCCCACGAAGGCTAATGAAGGCATGTTTGCAAGAGGTCTAAGCTGTTACGGCCATTGTATTTTACCATTTTATTAACTCAATTTTTATGAAGCGTTCTCCCTAAGGCAAATCTTTGAAACTGCATTCTTGAGTGATTAATGTCAAATACCAATCTTTGAAAGAACATTGCTCTCAAAGACTCTTTTCTATGACAAATTTATGCTACAAACAGAAGTTCTGAAATGCTTAACAGTGGCTGGGGGCAGTGGCTCAGGTAGATCATGAGGTCAGGAGTTCAAGACCAGCCTGGCCAACATGGTGAAACCCCATCTCTACTAAAAATGCAAAACTTAGCCAGGTGTGGTAGTGTGCACCTGTAATCCTAGCTACTCAGGAGACTGAGGCAGGAAAGTCACTGGAACCTGGGAGGTGGAGGTTGCAGTGAGCCCAGATCGAGCCATTGCACTGCAGCCTGGGTGACAGAGCAAGACTCTGTCAAAAAGAAAGAAAGGAGGGAGGGAGGGATGAAGGGAGGGAGGGAGGAAGGGAGGAAGGAAAGAAAAGGCTCAATACCAAAATTATATAATTTTGAGAAATTCTATAATTGAGAAATTAGGCATAGTCCAATAACCAAACACAACATAACATCCTCCAATAATGTGATCTTACGGAAGATTTGAAATATGCAAAGTAGTTTGAATTTCTTCAAATATATATATTAAAAAGTTTCTCATTCCAATTTTAAGATCATTTATTTTTCTACTCTTAAGTGAATAATCAGCTGCATACTTTCCTATTTGGGATTCAAATTAGATAAAACTTCATCTTTGCTAGGGATTTTTTTCTTTAATTCTGTATATTTCCTTCTGTAGTTTCATAAAAGCCTGACCTATATACCAAGGAGAATTATATTAATGACCTATTCTCACATTCTCTTGGATAAGAGTTTTGCTCTGTTGTTTAAACCGAGGAATAGATCTACTCATTAAATCTCTGTAAATCTAAATTTTATATTCTAAACAATGGAACAATTTTATGGCCTGGCTTAGCCTTTAAATTCCATGATTCAATAGCTATTTAAATAAAAGTATGACAGTATGCTTGCTATTGAAATTGAAACATACTAATTACTTTACTGGTCTTCTGAGGAATTTCTGCTACAAGGGTTAAAGTTTCTGAAATGCTACCAGGCCTTGATACAGGTAAATTATCATGAATTGTCATTCAGAAGAATCTTAATAGGCATTAACACTACACGTGAAAACTAAAATGCAGATGACATTGATAAGGGGGTGATTCCATGCGGATAGAACTGTGATGAGGCATGTTAGTGAATCAGTTCATATTCTATGAATTGATTATGTGTCAAGATTTTCCTTCTTACTGTGACTCACTTGCCGAATTTCTTTGGATCTTTGATGCCCAAGAACTTAAGGTACAATGTTATTTTATGCACCACCAAAACAAACAAACAAACAAACAAAACTTTCAGTAAAGCAATGGCTTTCCATCAATTGCAAGTGAATATTAAAGTACGAAAATGCTTTTTCAGCCTACCTCTTAAAGCCAGGGAAGGATAGTAGGTAAAGAGTTTTGACTTGATCCGCACAATCAAATAGTCAGTACAATCATTTTATTCATCTGACTTTTGAAGAGCATTAACTAGCAGAAAAAAGTAAGGATAAATTTCATTAAAAATGTTAGTATAGAAGTTCACAGACAATTCGATGATCTCCCTTGTGTAGAAAACGTGCAATACTATTTGTGGATTTTCTCTTGATCTCAATTTGAAATGCACGTGCCTTTCAGTAAAGTTCTCATTTTGTCACATGGGCTACATATTTCGGGGCATTTTTTAAAACTCTGTCACACTAAGGCTCTAGACAAGTAGGATCTTAAAATTTAGTAAACAGTCAAATATTTTTCTGCATGCCTCATACTGTCAGATACCCTTTAGGCATTCAAAAAAATGTGTAATGTTACATTATAAAACCATAGCATGATGTTTTTACTACATGATATAATGAAAGGAGCTTTGCCACAGTTAATATTGTTTTTAATACTTATTATTACTATACCCTTCAAATCTTCTTTTTTTTTTTTTTTGAGATGGAATTTTGCTCTTGTTATCCAGGCTGGAGTGCCGTGGCACAATCTTGGCTCAGCACAACCTCTGCCTTCTGGCAGGTTCAAGCAATTCTCCTGCCTTAGCCTTCTGAGTAGCTGGGATTACAGGTGCGCGCCACCGGGCCCAGCTAATTTTTGTATTTTTAGTAGAGACGGGGTTTCACATGTTGACCAGGATGGTCTCGATCTCTTGACCTTGTGATCCACCTGCCTCGGCCCCCAAAGTGCAAGGTAGGAATAGCTGGTAAAAAGCACAAGTAAGAATACCACCACCACAGCTCTCATTATCTGTGACAAACATCGCTAATTGTTCATCTTGCCCCTGACTCCTACTCCCCAAAATCTCAAGCTTGGTATTAGACTTTTTTACAGCACAATGCTTCAGATAGCCAATATAAATGGATCAGACCTGGCCTATGAAGTAAAGCTATGAAGGTGTAATTTTTTCCAGAGAAAGGAGAAAGGAGAAAGGTGGGGTGTGGTGGCTTATGTTTGCAATCCCAGCATTTTGGAAGGCAGAGGTGGCCAGATTACCTAAGGTCAGGAGTTTGAGACCAGCCTGGCCAACATGGTGAAACCCCATCTCTACTAAAACTATAAAAATTAGCTGGATGTGGTGGCAGGTGCCTGTAATTCCAGCTACTTGGGAGGCTGAGGCAGGAGATCACTGGAACCCAGGAGGCGGAGGCTGCAGTGAGCGGAGATTGCACCACTGAATTCCAGCCTGGGTGACAGAGTGATACTCCATCTCTAAATAAATAAACAAATAAAAAGGAGAAAGTTTTTTTTTTTTTTGTGCACCTAAATAATAGCACAAGCAGGTGCATGCAAAAGTGGCATGAAATATTTTGGGGCATCATTTTGCTAAAGTAAGTATCCTCCTTTCATTCCTTTGTTTAAGGTCTAGCTATTGCTTCCTTTCCCCAGGGACAAATACAACTAGAAAGAGTAATAAGGATGGTCAATGGTATAATA